GAGCGCAAAAACCTCTGCACATCTTCATAACTCTGTGGAATAGATGGCAGTGAGGTGAAATGTTTTGGCTCTTGATCCACCACTAAAATGGCTGCATGTGGAGCAGGCCCAACTGAACCACAGGGGATGCTGCTGCCATAAAACCCAACAGTCTGCGGCATAAACCTACATGGACTAGATGCCCTGTCCTGAACTGACTCAGACAGGTTTATATTGACTGAACATGTGCGGGAGACACACGTGCCTGCATCAAGCGAGAATTCAAGTCCACACCCAAAAAGGTTGTTTACTGACATGGTAGCAAGACACTCTTTTGCAGGTTCGCCCGCAATCCTAGGCTCCTCAAGTGATCAAGCACCTCAATGCACTATCGCCAGATACTGTGATTGAGGTAATATCAGCCAATCATCCAGATAGTTCAATATTCGGATGCCCTGGAGCCGTAACGAGGCAAGAGCTGCGTCCATACACTTTCCAAACATTCGAGGAGCCAGAGCCAGGCCAAACAGAAGAACACGGTATTGGTAAGCTTTGCCCTCGAAAGCGAACCTGAGTAACTTCCTGTATCTCTTGACGATCTGGATATGAAAGTATGCATCCTTTAGATCAATAGTCACAAACCAATCTTCCGTCCGGATATGAGACAAAATGGATTTTAACGTCAGCATCTTGAATTTGCTCACTCTGAGCACAAGTTTTAGGCTATGCAAGTCCAAAATCGGACATAAACTGCCATCCTTTTTGGGCACAACAAAATACAGCTGGTATTTTGTTGTGCCCACAAAGGATGGCGGTTTACGTCTGATTTTGGAAGCCTGACTTCATCTGAGTGGGGGGTATTTCTTCTATTGCCCCTTTCTCTAGGAGTGACACAATCTCCTGACTCAACGCTGAGGCCTCCCAAAACGCACTGTCGTGGAAAGAACCCTGCTAAAAGGAGCTAAAACGGCCCTTTCCGGAATTGGATGGTGTAACTGTGTCGAATGGTACGTAGCACCCACTGCGAGATCTCAGGCAGGCATCGCCACGCGGCCCAATAGTCTGCCAGGGGGCTTAACTGTTCTATGCTTGGAAATTGCTGAACTGCAGGTGTCGAGACATCATCTGATCGCAGAGAGCCGCTTGCGTCTGCAAAAACAGGAAGCACATGTGGAGAGAGTACTTAATGAACTCATTGTTATCACCTGACCCTCCTGCATTGGGCCCCGATGCACATGACTGGCAGGAACCTCTGTAACATTGAGTTTTCCAATCACCCGATTGAGCCAACTCACCACACCGAAAGTGGGGGCTTTAAAGGCCGTCATAAATGGGCCATTTGCGCATGACCCTAGGGCTTTTTCTCGAACTCTGAAGGCTGGAAAGTGCAGAGTGTCTGAGGAAGTGCTCATCATGTAAACTCGGTCTAGAACTGCCTGAGGCATAATATGTGGCGGGACAGTTAAGACTGGAGCTGGGAGGCCACAATGAGAGAGGCGAATACGCTTCTACGGTTCATCCAAACTCTCTAAAGGAGGGCCTGACCACCGAGGACGAGCGATGTAATCAGGAACTACTACTAGGGGCCTGAGGACCAGAGGCCTTGGCCGTCGAACTCAGGTCTATCCGTCTACGTTGTCATGAGCAAACTGGTGGATGTTACCTAGGACCCCAATCCTTATGAGGGGAATTCCATAGGCGATGATTCACTCCGCTGAACCTTGCGAGGCCGCTGCAGAGAAGACAAGCGTGAAGGAACTGCAGATGGTTGCCACTCGCCCTCCCTACACCTGCGTGGGTTAGGGACCCTCAGTCATGACCAATTCCCCAAACAGGCCATCTTTGAATATGTGGCCATCCAAGAGAAAAGTTTTGACCTTTTATTTTATGCCAGTGAGAGTAGCCCGCCTGAGCTCCTTAACAGCCTCTGGAGTCAGGCCTTCTCCCTCATCCAACTCTTTAAGCACATCTGTTTGATAAGCTTGGTGCATGCCCATAGAGTGAAGAGTAGCCACAGCTTATCTAGCAGCCATGTAGGATTTCGCGACTAACGGAGACGCAACCCTACATGGCTTGGACGGCAGCAGGGGGCGCTGATTTTAATGTGAGATGTGCCGCAAGAGTCTCTTCTACAACCGGCATTGCCGCGTAGCTGTGCAGCGCCATCTTGGGAATAGTGGCGAAGTCAGTGGCAGTGGGATTAGTGATATGCGGCAAGAAGTGTTGCTTCCAAGATCTTGAAACCTCTTGGTGGAGGTCTTGGAAGAAAGGGAGAGGCCTACGGGGCTGGGTTGGAGTGCGGCTATTTCGTCCAGTTTTGACTGAGCCTGAATTTGCGCCGGCTTGCTGTCCCATTCTAACCCCAGCTTGTCTACAGCATGAGTAACGACATCTAACAGCTCACTGTAAGACGGGGAAGTGTATTTCTCCTGCCTGCTTGGAGGGAGAGAACTGCAGAAATAACCTATTAGGTCCTCCGAATCAGAGGCCGCCGTAGACAGCACATCTTCATCGTACGGTTCACAACTGAAAGAAATTGAATTACGAGCTTCCGGGGTAGGCCGTAAATCATCATTGACAAAGACAACCGGGTTCCGCATAGCGCTCTTCCAGCCCTTGAACGCGGCCCAGTGAACAGAGGGAGAAAGGGAGAAAACTCCGTCGTTTCACTCTCCATGAGCTCCGGCTCGTACGCATCACCCCAAGCGACCATCTTGTGTGGCGCCTCGACAACTGCAGAAATGTAATGGCGGGGGTTATTCGGGAGTCCTCCTTTCTTTAAAAGGGAGGCGAGCCTCTAGCGCAACACTTTTAACCACAGGCTATCGCAGTGTTGACAATCCGTTAAGTGCCGCTTGAGCATGCTGTAGGCCCAAACATTGCACGCACCTGTCATGAGTGTCTCCTCCTGCGATGAACCTGCTGCACGGATAAACGCATCTCCTGTAGCTCATCGTGTCCAATTGAGAGGAGTAAACTGCTCTTTCAGAAATAGCTGAAAACACAACAAAAACACTTTCCTACAGGCAACAGATAAACATATTCTCAGGATGGTGCTAAGCGCTATTGGCTAATGAATTGGTGTGATGATATAAGAGCTTCAGACATTCATCACACTAAAGGTGTACCATAGCAATGACACTATCGCAGCATTGAGTGAAGCTATGAAAGGGAACATAGGTTGCGCTGTGTCTGTGAAAAGCACTTTTCTGTATGCTTGCTTCCGGTGTGTGCAGTTGTATACTGGGGCTACTATAACGTGAAAGAATTAAATCTAAATAATGCCCTCAAATCAAACTCTGGGTGAGATCAGAGAATCAAGCCACTACGTGATGACTGAATCATCAGATTTCTTCTTACAGCTTTTGCTATAACAAATGTGCTTCAGAAACACAGTTACAGCAGCCTGAGAAAAACTTAAGTTGAAAAGTCAAGGGTCAGGAACCTAACTAAAGCAAGCACTTACCTCCATAACGGTGAATTCAAACTTTATTATTTTCAATAAAACAGCGCTACGGCTTCCTGGAGGCTAAGTGAGGGCTGCCCGTGCAGGGCCAGTGCTAAGGGGCCAACGTTTTGCCAATGAGCAAATTCTCAGGGGCCCTGCATTGGCAGCCCTAAGTGGGCCCATAAAGGGCAAGTGCAGGCTTGTTTGCAGGGTATGGTCTCCGAAGAAATGTTTGCAAAAATTCGCTATGATAACAGTTCGCTAATGTTATTGACTGCACGATAGTTCCACAACATATTTTATTGATACCCGCTGATTTGACAACATAAATACTAGTCCGGTGGCATGTAACTTATCTTTTACCACATGTCTGAGTTTGTGATAAACATCGGCGCATTTTCTTTGATGTAGGAGCTAGCGACAACGTATGATGACGTGTAACGGTGTAGTAGTGGTGTCCCATTTCTTAGGGGGAATATTTTCAGGCATACAGATTTCTGACAAGAACGAGGCAGGAGGTTTCTGTGATGTCTCAAGAGTCTACCTATATGTACCACAACATCAAATGAGCTTCAGTGGAAATTTACAAGCTGGCTTATCTTTATGCGGAAGCGTAGCGCGAATGCAGCGCGAAGCATCAGTTTAACTTCGAAAGAAAGCGAGGTAAGATGGAAGTTGCAAATAATTTAAAATTAGTCTACTGTTTTACGATAGAAATGTTAAATGATAGACAGCTATATGTAGTGATGCAAACTACTAAATTTTTTCCTCAAATATGGCAATCTTGAGAGAGAGTGATGAATGTTTTGTGTGTGAATTAACTGCATCTGTGTGTCTCCCTTTACAACCAATAATGCTGTGTTTACTTCAAAAACAGCTCTTTCACCTCCTTGTTGCTGAGAAATATAATGTAGAGATTCAGCATTTTATTAATAAAAGTCTACTGCGCATGTATGGAACACGTCCGCGGAGCGGACCATCAGCGTATGCTTTCGGTAGTATAAATACAAGTAGTCCGCGTCCGCGCTGTCCGTGTACGCGTCCAGTTTGCTCATGCGGAAAGTATAGCACAGGCTTTAATATAGAACACCTGCATATATTTATAGTTGGTCCCCCCAATGTTCAAGACATGGTCACAGCCTTGGATTTATCCATTTGTCTGCTCTTCTCTTACTCAAATGTTCGCATCTAACCTCCTAACCACACAGGAGAGTCGTTCTGACTGGATCTCTTCCCAAATCATCCCTCCCTAACATTTTCTCTCGTTTTTATTCATTGACGAAAATTTCAACAGATTTTCATCATCGTTTTTATCATTCAAAATGAGTTATTTCGTTATTGTCTTGTTTTCGTCTGTGAAAAAATGTTGTTGACGAAAATTATTCATCAACAAAATTAACACTGATCTATTATTATTATTATTATTATTATTATCCAGTTTGTATGTCCAATCCACTCATTCCAAGAAAAAATTTACCCATGAGACTGGAACAAATTCTAGGCTGCATATAGAGTAGATACATATTCAAGCAGATTAATAAAAAAAATCCTTCACATAAGAAAATGCTGGATCAGTATCTGCATTTGTCCAGGTGACAGTCTTGTTCAGGACATTTTGTTTTGATTCACTTGTTTGAAGCTTGTGGAGTTTCCACTGTAAGTGTGACTGTTATCAGTCAAATACTGTGAAATATAGAGAAAAATAAAATACACTAAAAGATCTGCTTTAATACAAGATTTAAAAGGAAAGCATTGACTCAATTACTTACTCTAGTTTCTGCAGTTTACAGTGTGGATCCTCCAGTAGAGCAGAGAGCAGCTTCACTCCTGAATCTCCTGGTTTATTATAGTTCAGATCCAGTTCTCTCAGGTGTGAGGGGTTTGATCTCAGAGCTGAAATCAGAGCAGCACAGCCTTTCTCTTCAATACTGCAGTTCCACAGCCTGCAGAGAGAAAGAGAAAAACAGGTAAAATAATGAATTAATTATGTGTTATAAAGGTTTGTTATTGAAACAATGTAACACTATTCATCTCCATCTCTTCAACAAAACTGTGTCTATTTGAAATGTACAGGGTTTCTGCAGATATGAACAAGTAAAATTTAAGACTTTTTAAGACCTTTTTTTTAATACCACCCTATATTAAATTTAAGACCTAATCCTGTAAAGGAAATACACATTATATTACATACATATATGCAATATTTAATGTGTTTAATGTAAAAAGAAAACAAAATATCATCGCTGTCATAAATTATATTTATTACTATGATATACTGTGAACTTTTCATATCAGCAGACAATATTCCATACAAAATATCCCCACAAACGTACTGCATCACTGAGATTTTTGGTGGTGTAAACAATTTATTCTGAAGCAATATTTTCAGTGTTCTATCAGCTTTTACATACTTAAATCTGCACATTTTTAATTACCTTTACAAAGACCTTTTTCAACCTTTTTAAATGTATGCATCATCTTTCATGTCAAATTATTACAATTGATCAATAAATTCAATATACACTATAGGGCTGTTACCAGTCAGATTAAATAATTTACACTGCAAAATTACAACAGCAATAAATAATGTTATGAGATTAATGTTTTAAATACATTTTTGGATGTACAAATAAGAAATGCTGGTGGGGGAAATGCATACTTTTAAACATACTAAACCACCAGTAGGTGGCGGTAAGTCACATAATGAGTGAGTCATTATGTCATTCAACCGATTCGCTAAAACGCTGAATCATTCAGTAACAAAACACAGCCGAGTGTTGCTTTGAGAATGTTTAATACTTCTACTGTGATCTTTGTTTGGAACTATTTTCATGGTAGAAATAGAACAAAAACAGTAAATATTGTGTCTAAAATGTAAGTAACTTAATAACTACCTGACTACTTTACTTGTTTATTGAAAAAAAAATCAATGTGACATTTGCAATCGTGAAAATATTCAGCAAAATAGCTCCCTTGTCAAGGTGTTACTTAACTATATCATGTTATGAATAAACTAAACATTTAGAATGTTTACCTCAGTGTGTTTCTTCTGAGTTTCTTTCTGTGTGCTGTTACGCTCATTTGATCTCATTTGATCAAGTCTCTTACAAAGAGACAGGCAGCTTAAGCCTCAACAGCACAACCTTGATACCAGAAATACATCAATCGCTGCTTACGCTGAATGTAATAAAATCAGAAGAAACATTATCGTGTTTCGATGCTTCGCTGGTTATCTTTTTGTCACATAAATTGTAGACAGGCTATTTGTCCGGTCGGGTAAGTAAAAAAAAAACATTTTAAATTAGCTAGAAGGCTGGTCAGCTAGCTGTAGCTCGACCTATAATATTATTATTATTATTGTTATTATTATTGAGAACATAATGGCCCTGTCCCAAATGGAACGCTTCATGTGCACTTGCGGTCTTACGGACTTACAATGGCTGCCTCGTGCGCGTGTCCGTTAAGTCTTTGAGACCGTAGGGTGTCCCATTTGTTATTTTAGTGTTCAGAAGGGTGCTTGCGAGCATCCCCTTTGTGGCCGTTATGCGCCCTCGATCCGCACTTCTGCCGAGCCTGCACAGACTTCTACCCGACAGTCAAAGCGGCATTACGTCACGAAAGTGCGGACTCAGAGGAAGACCGCGAGGGTTTAGGGTGCCATTTGGGACAGGGCCTTTATAAACAAAGAAGGTAGCTCAACCTGTATTCGGCTACTGCGATTCTCTCTGATGATGCAGTATTTCCACGGGAAAAAAGAAAAAAAAATCTTCGGTCTGTTCAATGATTGTAAACAGTCATTAGGTCCATCAGACTGAAAAAGATATTTAGCGGTAATGTGACCAAAAATATTTAAGACCTATTGAATCTGAATTTAAGACATTTTAAGACATTTTAAGGCCTTTTATTAGGAAAACGTTATTTAAGACGTTTTAAGACTTTTTAAGGACCCCACGGACACCCTGAATGTATGTTTTCTTTTATAAAGTGATGGATGTTCTATTGAATGATTTACCAGTCAAATACTGTGTGCATCTCTAATGAATACTCACACAAACACCAGTGACATTGTATTCATCCTGACATTTACGACTGCAGTTAACATGTCACTTGATTCTGCTCTTTTGTGTCCCAGGACTCTTATTTTGATATTATTAAGGACTCGCAGTTTGAGTTTCCATTTCCTGTGTTTATTCCTGTTTCCTTGGTTACTCATCATGCTCACCTAATTGCAATCACCTGTTAACTAAATATGCCCCATTTCTTTCATTCAATTGTCAGTTCATGTCTTTATTATAGCTTGTGATTTACAATGGAAATTTTTTAATCCTCTTCCTGTTGTTTTTCATCCATTCTTATATGATATTTTTGTTCTTATAGATCTAGACTTGGTAAGTGATTAATAAAGGGGAAATCTATCTGCTCAGTGACAAAGGGATGGATGCTTGGTAGAGCTATAACTTGAACCAATCATGAAGTTAACATGTAACCTTGGTATACATTTCTAAACATATAAATATTTGTGTAATTTTGTGGTCACATTGTCGTTCTGCTGCGTTTAAAGTGACTCCTGGCTGGTTGCTGATAAACATTCAGGCAAACAGCGACTCGGGACTCATTTAAAATTATTACAAACTTATGTAGCAAATATACATAATTAAAACTACAGAATATATTTGGGACAAATGTCTTGTGTTTTCAGTTTTGTTTTCAAGGTAATTATATCATTAATTTTTCACTAACTGAAGAATATAAAAAGGATGGTATTTGGATTAAAAAAAGCATCCGTACTGTTAACATATGATAAACAGCTTTCTGACTTTTCCATTTGCTGACATGAAATGATTAGATTCAAGAAGTCAAGAGTCATATTTTTAATGAAACGTCACATTTAAAAATATATCACTCACAAGATATAATAAAATATTATATTTCTTGAGACTACTGTAAATATATGTTAAGTTATTACGGGATCTTCAAGCAGTGTAAGAATATTTCAGAATCTTTTTTTAAATGAAAATTTTCTGTATTTTTTTTTTTCAATAAATGTGTTTTGCAACATACTCGGTTAATAAAATCACATTATTTTATCACAACAAAATATTGTACAAACATTACTGAAGGGATTGTTTTAGAGAAGAATTAACATATATTATGCAAAACATTACTTTAGTTAAAATATTTTTATTAATATTGTGGGCCTTTTGCCCCATGCTTTTGACTCTTTTACCTCGAGTGTGAAATAAAAGGCTGCCCTTGCCACCTCATGTATTTATATATTTTCCCTTTTGTAAGTTGCATTCAATATTAATTTGGCTGAAAAATCTGAGAGGACACGTGTCTTTAGCCCTACTGTACTCTAATACTGGTGTGCAGTAAAGAGAGAAACACTTCTAGATTCTTACATTACTGTAGATGAAGACAGTGATATTAAAAAACACTAAAGTGATGGTTTTTAAAAAATGCTCCAAAATATGTCAATAAGTTGACAAAATTTTGAAAAAAATTTAATTTGATGTATTTATTGTTTGTTTGGTAACACTTTATAATAACTTTCACTAATAAATCATTAACAAACATTATGTAATGCTTAACGGATCATTAGTTAATATATATTCACATATCTAGAAATGTGAAATAATGTGCTTGTTAATGTTTACTAATAAATGTATTAAACATTACTTAATAATTAACATTTCATGTAAATTAAAATGCTAACAAATGTCATTAAATTTCTAATTCATATGATCATGTACATCTTGAAAATCTACAAATGATTTTAACATGTTATACGATGATTAAAAGCTTTTGCTAATGCACAACGCTTTTGCTGCTGTTGAGGTGTGATACGGTAATGCTGAGTTCACACTGTACGATTTTCAAACTCGAACTGAATGCTACCCCAGATAGTCACGCAGTGTGAAAACAACGGCGATCAGACGAGTTTGAAAATCGTGCAGTGTGAACTCAGCATAAGAATGAACAGAGGTTTACATGTTAATGTTAACTGAAAATAATAAAACGTGAGATAAGTGTTTGCTTTAATTGGGCTCTTGACCCATGACTTCTTTACATTAGTCTTTCTCTGGTTGCTGCAACTGTGTTTATGAAACACAATTGTTATGGCAAGAAAAACCAAGAGAAATGTGATCAGATTATATTGGCTACTTTTTTTTGTAATGACATAATTACCATTTAGCCTGATTCACTGATGTCATCAGTAGTGATGCATAATTTAGTTAATATTGTTGATCACAACTGCATTTTAAAGCAATATCATGAAGAACTTTAAAAACACTTTGCACACTAGTCTAGAATGTCTGTATGGTTTAGACACGCAGACATCAAGGATCAGCATATGAATCTCAACAATGGTGACGATCATCAGATAGATTCATGCTGCAGTGCATTCTGGGTGCACCAATCATAGCTCATCCATGGCTCCCAGCATGCATTGCGACATGAATAAATTATGCAGCTGCATTGTCTTAGGATTTTCTTTTATTCTTACTATTTGCTTTGATTTTTATTTTTGTTGTGACTTTTTTACTGCCTTGTTTCGTGACGTGCAAAAATCATATAAAAATTATCAGAATATTTTATCACCATTGCTGAGATTCATATCCTGATTCTTTATGTCTATGAGTGCCAGAAGTGAAACTTTTCTATGAACTATATTTATAAAAATGGTTTATAAAGTTCTCTCACATTGTCATCTCCCATCATAGAACTGCAATAATACAGAAATCATAAAAGCACTACAGATTTAAATCAAATGCAATCAGAGAGTCAGCTATACATGACACGATTTTATCATAAGTTTCTTACCATCACATATATGTGCTTTATAAACACAATTGTAACAGCCAAAGAGAAACTTATATTCAAAAAGTCAAGGGTGAAGACGCAACTAAAGCAAACATAGAACTGCAATAATACAGAAATCATAAAAGCACTACAGATTTAAATCAAATGCAATCAGAGAGTCAGCTATACATGACACGATTTTATCATAAGTTTCTTACCATCACATATATGTGCTTTATAAACACAACTGTAACAGCCAAAGAGAAACTTATATTCAAAAAGTCAAGGGTGAAGATGCAACTAAAGCAAACACTATTCACCAAAAAGGTAAGTTGAAAAAAAAATCTAAACCTTAATTTTCAATAAAGAACTTCTGTTTTAGATACTCCAGAAATAAAGTCTAACTGGTTAGTAATGCATGAAGCTGGTGATGTTGTTTGTAGAGTTGTTTAATCATCTTCTCCTGAGATCTTGGTAGATTTAATGTCTTTTATTTCAGTTGATTTCATCTCAGGCTGTGGCTGAAGTCAGTTGTAGTTCTTGTGTTTCTCTTTTATTTAAAATTTGTTGTTGTTTTTTTCCCCCTCCTGTTGATGTATGATTCAAGAAATATTCTGTTTAACGATTCACAATAGTATAGTAATATAAGTGTTGAGGCAATAAAAACATGTTTGCACCCAAATTACAATGTGTGTAATGTCTTTACCAAACATTTAGCTAAACTTAACTAACCACCCTTTACACAAACTTTGTCACAGTAGCTAAAAGTCCAGTGCCAATAAAGATACTAAAAAATTAGTAAATGTTTATAAACATTTAAAAATGATGAATAGTCTCAACTTTATATTGGGTACTGCAAAAACATGAACAAATTATTAATACATTATTTGTAAAGATGTGAAACTAGGGTAAATTCCGGTCATTTTGGACACTTTTTGCCATCAAAATGACTGCTCATGAAGGTACTAATGATTAGTAAATGTTTATAAACATTTACAATTGATGAATAGTTTCCACTTTAGATTGGGTACTGCAAAAACATTAACAAATAATTAATAATAAATGATTTATGATGTGCAAATAATGGAAGTCTACACAACAAACAAAGCCCAAATATATGACCTGTAGAGACTGTGATTATGAGTCAATTAATATATTAACATGAACAGTTTGTGAAGTGCTTAAAATGAATAATTAAGCTATATTTTCACAACATTTGTAAATGTAAAATGTGATATGTGAACTGATGTTTAATGAAACTTGTAAGCATTCAACAGTACATTAACAAATACATTTGAAATCATTGTGTAATTTCTGTTAAAATCATTTGTAGATTTTTAAAACGCATTGAATATTTAATGACATTTGTAACCATTAACTAATGATCAGTTAAGCATTATAAAATGTTTGTTAATGATTTATTAATGAAGCTTTTAATCATTGTAAACCAAGGGTGCCCAAACTCAGTCCTGGAGGGCCAGTGTCCTGCAGAGTTTAGATCCAACTTGCCTCAACACACCTGACAATTTCTAGTATGTCTAGTAAGAGCTTGATTAGCTGGTTCAGGTGTGTCTGATTGGGGTAGGAGCTAAACTCTGCAGGACACCGGCCCTCCAGGACCGAGTTTGGGCACCCCTGTTGTAAACCATCTGTCAAAATCATTTGAAGATTGTTTTTTTTTTTAAATGCATGATCATATGAATTGAAAGTTTAATGACATTTGTAAGCATTTCAATTTACATTAAATAATGATCTGTTAATCATTTGGTAATGTTTAATAAGTTCATTAGTTAACATTAACAAGCACATTATATCGTATTTCTAGATATGTGAATATATATTAAGTAATGATTAGTTAAACATTATGTAATGTTTTTTAATTATTTATTAATGAAAGTTATTATAAAGTGTTACCTTGTTTTATTGTTTTTTGTTTTGAGGGTGAGAGGGCAACACACAGAATCACTGCTACAGAAAACATCTGTCTAATTGTAATTTTTACTCGAAACCTTATAATTACTGAGATGTGATGAGACTCACTGTAGTTTCTGCAGTTTACAGTGTGGATCCTCCAGTAGAGCAGAGAGAAGCTTCACTCCTGAGTCTCCTGGCTTATTATCGCTCAGATTCAGTTCTGTCAGGTGTGAGGGGTTTGATTTCAGAGCTGAAATCAGAGCAGCACAGCCTTCCTCTTCAATACTGCAGCTCCACAGCCTGCAGAGTGTGAAGAACATGAATGATCTCTGAGATTGTGTTTAAGCTTTAGGGTGAGAGTCTGTTTCTGTGACATGGAGGAAAGAAAAAAACAGCCTCCTTGTGTTTGTATGAGCTCTGCTTTTCTCTCTCACACCAGGATCAATAATATAGAGATTTTAACTTGCCAGCACAAGCGGTCCGTGTATTTTAATTTTTCCTTTTTTAACCTAGAAATTAACTACGGAAAATGCGGCTTCTTCTTTTTTGGATTTAACATTCTTTTCATTATTCAAAATTCTTATTTCATTAAAAATCGTAAAAATTATATACAGCTTGTTTTTTAATGTACATAAATGCTAAATTTAATTTCTAGCCTTTTAGCGTCTCTATACACAGGCTAAAAGCACCCTCAAGTGCTACCGACAGGGTTACCGGTAACCCATTGCTTTTTAAAAAGCCTCTGGCATCAATATTTGAAAGGCATCAATGTTTTTATGATCATAAAGTGCCTTGATAATTTTTCAAGCCTTTAAATGTGCATGATATAGTTAAATATGTGAATGGATTGCATTTAATCAGCTGTTTGTTTCCAGGCACTGTTCTACGGGGGTGCTAGAGGTGCTAAGCACGCTCAAACAAAAGCAAGAGCACCCTGAGGCTGTAAAAATTGGATATGGCGAAACATATTTGGCTGTTGATTTCTGTTGATGTTCATAATATCTGTTGATTTCTTGGACGCAATGGCTAATCAGAGGTGTTTTAATTCAGAATCCACTCACCGCTCAAAACGCCGCAGTTTTGTTCAGTGCTGAATGCTGAGTGATACAAGCTCACGAATCACATCATTATAATAATCAAAGTGTAGACACGATGTTAATAAGAGAATAATTGTGCAGTGTAAAGAGATTCATTGATTATAACGGAAATTTGTGAGATCGCAATTAAATGAAATGAGTGGCAGAATTTTTAAGGAAGTTACGTTGTAAAGCTCCTTGCACGCTTTCTTCCCTATAGTCCATTCAGAAGTTTTGTTCCCTATCGATACTTCACTCGTACTGCATCTGCTTAAGATGACCGCAAGATCTTCGCTCTACAAGACTCAAAGCCTTTGCCGTGAACAAGCCTCGCAGCGCATCAAGACCCCTTTCTGCTTGGCTGACTTCGCCACTCTTCAGCTGCCTTCCGCGTCTGCAGCAGCTGTGGTCTTCCCGGTCCCCTGCCGCTATCCGGCGATTACTATAAGAGCAAATTTCCGCCGTTGTTGCAAATGCTGCGCCGCTACTGTCACTCGTGCAGGACTCCCCTGCACGCCACTGACGGTCACGGCGAGTGCATTTCATGCTTGGGCGCTGCCCAGGCTGAAGCTGCACTTACCGAGACGGAATGTCCTCATTGCGAGGATATGAGTCTCGCCTCTCTGCGCTCATGGATAGCTTTCTTTTCAGAAAGCGACTCCGCCCCTCACGCCCTCCCACTTTCTTCCTCCCAGGAGCCTGTGAGGCGCTCGGTGATGAGTGAGACCACGCCGGCTGAGCCCCCGCGTGCCTCACTCTCTCCACATAGAGAGGCTTCCCCCGTTCTCTTCTCTCACCTGGACCAGCATCCCTCTGCAGCTGCGAGCGATCTGGTCTCGTTCGGTGGGAGCGAGTGTGACGCCATGGACAACAGTGTGTCTCTGGCTGCTTCAGATGCGGAGGACCCCGCCCCCCTGCCGTCTGCGGAGCCCAGCGCAGCCAGCACGGGCATGGACATCGAAATTTTCCGCATCTTGTCTAAAGCTGTGCAAGAGCTGGGTTTGGATTGGTCTCTGCCGGAGGAGCCCACCCGCAGCCACCTGGATGAATGGTTCTTGCCGGGGCGCCATCAAGCCCCTCGACAACGAGCTTCACCGTTCTTCCCAGAGGTCCATGATGAGATCAACAGATCTTGGCACGCCCCTTACTCGGCCCGCCTGCAAGTGTCAAAATGGGTTCTGGGGATAATAAAACGAGGCTATTCACTTCAATTCGCTCGAAGACCCCCGCAATTCAGCGGCGTGGTCTCCACCTCAGTTCAGAGCAAGGACGCACATGCCTGCGCGCCGAGGTGATGAATTTGCTGGCGAAATGAGCCATAGAAACGGTTCCCCCAGCTCAGAGCGAGTCAGGCTTCTACAGCCGATACTTCCTCGTCCCCAAAAAAGGATGGCGGCCTAAGGCCCATCCTCGATCTCAGGCACCTGAACCGTGCCCTCATGAGATGGCCGTTCAGGATGATTACATTGAAGCAGATCCTCTCGCACGTGTGCCCAGGGGACTGGTTCTTTTCACTGGATCTGAAAGATGCCTACTAGATTCCACATGCAGATAGCCCCCCGCCACAGGCGATTCTTGAGTTTTACCTTCGAGGGAGTGACATATCAATACATGGTCCTTCCCTTCGGACTGTCCCTAGCTCCTCGCACTTTTACAAAGTGCATGGATGCGGCTCTTTCCCCGCTGAGACAGATGGGAATCCGCATTCTGAATTATCTTGACGACTGGCTCATCCTGGCCCAGTCAGAGAACGAGCTATTATCTCAGAGATCCTTCCTCCTCAGCCTCTTAGAATGCCTCGGACTCAGGGTCAATTTTGCCAAGAGCGCGCTGTCCCCCAGCCAATGGATATCGTTCCTGGGAACAGTTCTCGACTCAGCCCGAATGAGGGCAGTAGTCGCACCAGACCGTGCACTGGCTATTCGGCAGCTTGCGGCTTCATTCAAAGTTGGAGCCCCTCACCCTCTCAAGGCGTTTCAGAAGATGTTGGGCCTCGTGGCCTCTCCGTCTCCAGTATTTCAGCTGGGCCTGCTTAGCATGCGGCCCCTTCAGTACTGGCTGAAACCACGAGTTCTGTCCCACGCCTGGCGTCATGGACGCATGCGTGTCAAGGTGAACCGGGCCTGTGTAGCAGCTCTGGCCCCTTAGAAAGACTCTCAGTGGATGGAACGGGGCGTGCCCCTGGGAATGGTATGCAGAAGGAAGGTGGTCTCGACAGACGCTTCCAACGCGGGTTGGGGAGCTCTATGCGATAGCAAACCGGCTTTCAGCCATTGGTCAAAAGAGGAGAGTTGGCTTCACATCAACTGCCTGGAAATGCTGGCAGTATGTTTGGGCCTTTGCACCTTTCTGCCAGACCTAAGGGGACACCACGTGCTAGTCCGCTCAGACAGCATGACAGTGGTGTCATATATTCCAAAAAAATATTTTTTTAATTAAAATCACTGGACTATAAAAAAAACTTCACAAGATATTTTGGTGTCTATCCAAAAACCTTCATCAGTTGTAAAAACAGGAAGTAACTCTGGCAAATATATCCACAAAAGTCACATGATCAACAGACCTATTGGAGTCATATGACTATAAGTAAATGGTGTCACTGCTCATGATGGTGCCCCTCCTACTCTCCAGACGGAGCACCCCGATCTCTCCTTGCAGCGTCGTGGCACCGTTTCCAGCACAGCATCATAGGTGTGGGACAGATGATGTCTCAAATCCCCTCCCCTATTCAAAGAGGGACGCTCCACCTTTACATGAATCACTTCCTTTACGCCTCTTTCAAACCACCTCCCTTCTCTATCCAGTATTCTCACCTCATGGTCGTGAAAATTGTTTTTCTTTTGTTGTAGATGCAAGAAGACTGCCAAATCCTGCCCATAAGTATTTGCATGTCTATGCTGCGCCATGCGTCGATAAAGTGGCTGTTTTTTTTCTCCAATTATAAATCCTCACACTCCTCACTACACTTAACAGCATATACAACATTACTTCTTTGATGTTTGGGAATCCCCAAACAACGGCAGTCTTTGGCAGGATTCGGCAGTCTTCTTGAGATCTTGTGTGGACTTCCCAAGGCTGAATGTTTTCTAACTCCAAGGAACTAGTGTTAATTTCGTTAATGAAATCTATGACAATTTTTTTGTCCCCTGACGAAAACAAGATGATGACGAGACGATAATAAGGTCATTAAACAATAACTGAGACTATATATATAATGGAGCGATCTCCATTTGAGGTATTCTGTTTAAATGAAAGTGTCATTCAGCCAGTCTGTGTTCTGTCATGGATCTCGACTGCATTGTTATAGTGGTTGCTGATTGTAACATTACTTACGCAACCTCTGTGCGGCAATAAGTCTTTTTTGCCGTTGTTTTAAAAGAGAAACATTAATGCAATTTGGAATTATTGGAATTACTATTGGGAATTTATGTTATAATATTTGAGAATAGATTTTTGTTACACCAGTTTTCATAATGTAGACAGGGCGAGTGTATATCTAAAGTCTTTGTTGTTTATTTAGCCTCTAATTGATATCCTGTTATAAATCTATATACTAGATGAGGTAAAATAAACCATGCATATGTGTCGATATTCTATTGATTTGTGCTTATTGGTGAAAGAGCAAATTTTGATGAAATGTAAAAATAAATTTCCCAAATGACAACAATCATTGCAATTAAAATTGAGCAAAATAATATTATTTAGTCAGTTTCCAATGACTAAAACTAGACTAAATTGCTCAGACATTTAATAGACTAAAACTTGATTAAAACTAAAACAGGACATGTTGACTAAATATAATAAACACTAAAAGTTACATTTAACACAGGACTAAGACTGAGACTAAATTAAAAATAGCTGACAAAATGAACACTACAAAGAACAAAGTGATTGAGTCATCTGTGACTGTTTGGAAGCACAGAAAGTGCAACTTTTGTTTTGTATTTCTGATTTTCTTTGAATAAACGCACACGTCTCTGTAAACTGACCCTGCCCTCTTCCTTCCATACTCCGAACTTTGTCACACTAATGCCGAAACCCAGGAAGGAAGAAGGAACGCTGCCGCCGTTATGCAGTCCCCATCAAATTTTCCATTTGTGGAGGTCATTCACTAGCTCGCGGGCCTCCATCAGGAACATCAACAGGCGCTACTGGGCATGAGGGATGTTCAGAAATGTCGGTTCCAGGCCCTCATCCAGGTGCAACGGGGGACCGGGAGCTGTT